ATAAATAACTTACATGAAGATATTGTATTTTCCATTCTTTCTAAGTTACCTTTGAAATCTCTCAAGAGATTTGGATGCGTATGCAAATCATGGGCTTTGTTGTTTGAAAATTCTCATTTCATGAACATTTTTCGTAGATATTTCATATCCAAACATCACTCTTATTATGACGATACATCTCTCCTTGTACATATCGGTATACTTCACCAATATTTTTCTGAAACCTCCCTATTTTCACTTTATGGTGAGAGATTGCAAAATATGGACAAACTACAATGGCCAAATGAAATTCTAGAGAAACATACTTTAGGTTGGTATATTTTGGGTAATTCTAGTATTAATGGAATTTTTTGCCTCCACTCAGGGGATAATGAAATATTGTATTTGTGGAACCCTGCTACAGGTAAGTTAAAGGTCGTTCCTCCCAGTCGAATAAAATCTGTACCATATTATATTTCTCCACTCATTAGCTATCAAGGATATGACTATGATTCTATTAGAGATGATTATAAGGTGATTAGGAATGTAAATTATTTTACAAATAATTTGGATGAATGGGACGATCAGAACCCAAATGCATGGAATGAATATGATAACTCATTGAATGAAGATGATGTCTATCCATTAAATGAAGATGATGAATACCCTGATTATTATAACATGTGTGAATCCTTATGGGAGATGTATAGCCTAAGAAGTAATTCTTGGAGAAAACTTAAAATTGATGAAGATATTCCCAGTTCTTCTACTTTTTGTTATCAACAGTTGTACTTGGATGGAATATGTCATTGGTTTGGTCATCAAAATGACAGGAAAGAATATTTGGTGTCGTATGAATTGAGCAATGAGGTGTGTTATAATACTCTCATGCCCTTAGAGATATCTATCCAAACCTATGATAATTTTGATCATTATATCTATTGGTATTTATTGGTCTTAAATGGGTCTATCGCTGTGATGTCGAAGTATGGAAATTCAACTACATTTTATATATCAATTTTGGTTGAACTCGGTAAGAAGGAAACATGGGCAAAAATTTTCGTTCTCGATCTCTCACCTTGCATTGCTCGTCCTGTTGGAGCAAAGAATATGGGCAATATGCTATTCCAAACATATGATGGTGAATTAGTTTGGTTGGATTTAAGTACCCACATGATTGAGAAATTTGGTGTTGGAAAAAAACTAAATTCATCCAAATTAGTAATATACACTACTAGAAAATATGCTTTCAACGTCGCTGTTTAACGTCGGTTACATCTTAGCCGACATTGAATATGCTTTCAACGTCGGTTGTTCAACAACCGACGTTGAAAGTCGAATTTTGGCACATTCTACGTCGTTTTAGCATGCCCGACGTGGAAAGTAGGCTTTCAACGTCGGTTATGCCCTCACCCGACGTTGAAAACCCTTCTGCATGGGCTTTCAACGTCGGGTGTGGGTATAATCGACGTTGAAAACCCTTCTGCATGGGCTGTCAACGTTGAAAATCACACACTTTAGATAGCGGTTCTATGGGAACCGCTATCTAAAGTGCACTTTAGATAGCGGTTCTATGGGAACCGCTATCTAAAGTGATTATGGATCACTATCAAGTTATGATCGATCATTTCAAGTTATGATCGATCAGAACCTCATTTCGCTCGAGCGAGAGTAGTGTCGCTCAAGCGAAATACAACCCGAGAATGCTAATTTTGTGCAGGGGGCGTTTCGCTCGAGCGAGAAAGGTGTCGCTCAAGCGAGATACACTTTAGATAGCGGTTATAAGGGAACCGCTATTATATCCTCTCAATTATGATCGATCATTGCGAGTTATGATCGATCAGAATCTTATTTCGCTCGAGCGACGGTAGAATCGCTCAAGCGAAATACAACCCGAGAATGCTAATTTTGTGCAGGGGGCATTTCGCTCGAGCGAGAAGGGTGTCGCTCAAGCGAGATACATTTTAGATAGCGTTTCAATCGATTAAATCTCGTTTCAATCGATTAAAACAATTTCTGCACAGTGTTTTAATCGATTAAAACTTATTTTTATCAGTTAAAATTAGTTGAAAAGTTTTACGAGAGTTTTGCAGTATTTCAATCGATTGAATCGCGAAACAATCGATTAAATCAACTTAGAAGATTTTTTGTAAAGTGTTTTTGGAGGATTTTGGAGGGGGCTGTCATAAGGATCCAACATGCAACTTAACTTTCAATCCACTGCACGCACCAGATGAAGTGATTCCAAACAAATACGTAGCAACATTTGGATCTTCAACCATGCCTCATTAGGATGGCGCTTAAGTCACAGTATTGGGTTGCATGACTTGGTTTTCAACGTCTCTTAGTACATACTACATTCTGTATACGTCACTTAGCACATCCATCAGTTTGTAAAACCTACGCGGTCAAATTTTCGAGTTGCGTGAGATTGGTACGTTGTTGTTTGTGTGAAAGAAACTAAGTTATAAAATTCATTTTATCTCAAAGATAGTTGAAAAACTTATAGGAATTGTTCCTTAACACTATGTTTTGAAACGAGTTATTTTCACTGGCAATATCGACGATGGAGATCTTGAAAATTTTGTCTACTCTACCAAGAATTACCTTAATTTAGCTCAACTAACATTGGTTTTGCAAGTTATCAGACATGGCAGAGACCCGCATATATCGCTCAACCACAAAAAAATTGTATCCACCAACCTAAGAATTACAGTAATCATAACGTCAGGACTTTTTTTGTAAATCATACGAGAGGGCTGTCAGCATGAAGAACACAAAATTTTGGAGGATTATCAGTGCGAAGAAGATGAAAGTACTGGGTTTATTTGTATATATTTACACGGATATATATTTATTTGTATATAAATATAATTTATTTGTAAGTTATTATAAAAAAATTCAAGTAGTTTAGTGGTTGGAGTATCGGCCTCCAACTCTAAAGTACTTGGGTTCGAATCCTGCCAATGACAATTCTCTTAAAAATTAAAAAACTTCTAAAAATATAATATAAAGAGATGGAGGACCTAATAAAAATATAATAGGAAGAGAGGGAGACTTCTAGATAATGGAGGACCTAATAAAAATATAATAGGAAGAGAGGGAGACTTCTAGATAATAAAAGGGGGGTAAAGGGGTTGTAAATAAATAAAAATTATTAATTTAAAAAATCATACTTTCAACGTCGGTTCAAAAAAACCGACGTTGAAAGTCGACATTAGATAGCGGTTATAAGGTGAACCGCTATCTAAAGTCGACTTTAGATAGCGATTATAAGGGAACCGCTATCTAAAGTATATTTTTCAACGTCGCCTGATACAACGTCGGTTATTAAACCGACGTTGAAAGCCTTCCAGAACCGACGTTGAAAGCTTTATTTGTAGTAATGATATAAGGAAAGTTTTCTTTCCATTGAAGAAATAAATAGCTAGTTTTTTTTCTATCATTGATTATTATAAATTTATCTTGATTTATCAATTTTGCATCAAATGTATATGAAAACTAAAAAATCCTTTGATATATCGATAATATATACATTTATTTATTTATTTATTTATTTATTTTGCATTATAATTTTATGAAAAAAATGTATGAATATAATTTAAGAAAATAAAGTAAACAAGGTCTTTTTAATACTAAGAAAAATATGAAAATAGAGTCAAACATCTTAAATCAATATTATTCTCACTAAATTTTAAAGACGTTTTTCAAGTAATATAATATTATTTTATAAAAAAACTAGAAAGTATAAATTCTGTAATACAACTATTAATAATGATAGGTTAATAAATATTAAATATTAATAATATTTTTATTTTAATTATAATTTCTTAAATTTAAATAATTAATATATTATATTTTTTATCTCTTTCTGAACAATATAAATAAAATATAATAAAACACATGTCTAAAATTGCTGGATTGTTTCTTTTAATATATATTTATTTGAATTTCAAATTTTAAATTTTATTTCTCTTCTCTAAATTCTTTTTTATTTATTTATAATTTATTATTTTTTTTATGAGATCACCTCTTTGATTTTTTTTTTATAATTTTTTCTTTATCAAATTTTTATGTGAACATCATGACAGAAACTTTAACCTTCGATAAACATCATTCTTCTTTCATATTTTCATTTTCGTTTTATACTAAATTTCGTGAAAAATTAAATTTTAATTTAAAAAGTTATATTCATGATAGATAAATGTATGAGATTAAATTATTTAAAATCAGGTAATATTGCTAATACAAATAATTGTTAAAGAGTTTTCAAGATTAAACCATGTGATGATATACTGAAATACAAAGACTTCCTTAGAGCTTTTATAACAAAAAATTGTAATATTTTATTGAATTTTTTAAAAATTATTTTAAAAATTTTAATTGGTAGAACTTACTCATAGATAATTAATTATCTGTAAAAGTAAAATTCATAGTTGATATCCTAGAAAATATTATAAAAAAAACTTTCGGTAAATTTTTAAATTAAATAAGATATTTTGCCTGCATATATAATTTCAAATTCGCACAAACTTTTTCTTCACAGTTTTAATATATATAAAATTTTGGTTTCAAAATAATTGTATATTTAAAAAATATGTTATCATAAAATTACTGATACATTTTTATTTAATTTATAAATATTAATATATAAACTGGTCAAAATACATTTCTAACATAATAAGTTTAATTAAATTTATTTTTATTTATTGTAAGAGAACTATTACAAAATGATTAGTTTTCTGAAAGATTATTTGTAGGGAGTACTATAGCTTATAGGGACACGTAACATGTTAACATATGCCAATGAAATCATTTTTATATTTGGTATAATAAGAAGTAGACATAGGTTCCAGTAACGGTTGAATCTGAAGAAAAATGCAAGCCAAAAAATTCAGTATGCCAAATATTTTGGTTTTGGTTAACTATGTAATGATTCTCTCGTTCTTTCTTTTAATTTCTGAATAAATTCTTCCATCAAACTATGCTCTCTTTGTAGATCTGAATAAATTTTTATAATTTTATTTGGATGGTTCAATCTCTTTCTTCTGCAATGTATAGTAAGAGGCACGTGTTATGTAAAACTATGTGGTTCTAATTAATAAAAACAATTATTTAGTATTTGCTTTATTTTATTTCTATTTACTATCACAATTTCTATAAACAATTATTTACTTCTCTTCTCCATACTTTACGAATTTAGGAATCAATGGTAAAATTCTAATATATGAGATTAGTTATAATAAAGTATTTACAAAATTCATTGGATTTATCTATCATATTTAATAACAATCTACGAAAATTAATATAATTGCTAACATTGACATTTTATGGATCAATATACATAACTTTCTATATGTTATACCTTAATATAGTTATTAATGAATATGTTACTTAAAATGTTGTAATTATTTATTTCATCGATACATTATTTTTATAATATATATTTAAAGGCTTCACTTGATTTTATAGTTAATATTTCGATATTATGGATTTTGTCATGACGCTAAACCATTTTAATATATATTTAGAATTGTTTGAATATATATTAACGGATAAATATCATTCATATTTGTTTTTGTAATCTATTTTTTACTTATCTGTATAACTACTACAAGCATACTATAGGTGAATTCAAAATTTTCTTTTTTCTTGTCATGCATATAAATAGTATTATAAGAAAAAGTATCAATATTTTTATTGGTGTATAAATTGGATGGTGATGATCATTAATTAACAAAAATATCAATTAATTGAAAGCAAATTTGGATGATGATTTTGTAGCATGTGATTATATTAGGAGGTGAGATTATCTTAGCTCAAATGTTTTATCCAAATAATTACGCTGAATTCACATTCATTATTATAATTAATATATTACATGTTCGTTAAATTATTAAACGAGCTTTTTTGACTAGGAAATGGGTTTATTATTAGAAAATGTCAATAGGTTCATTGGTCTATAAATTGGATGATGATAAAAATTAACTAATAAAAGAAATCAATTGATCCAAAGGAAGTATTTGATGATTTTGTAGGATGAGGTTATATTTGGAGGTGTGGTGAATGAACATAAATGTTTGATTATGGTGAATTAATATAGTGGTTATAGGTGGTTTTGTTGTTGGATTGATTCTATTGAGTTTATTGACATTGCAACATATACGCAATGACGAAAGATGAGAACGTGACAATATATTGATTTCTTATAAATCACTTACATCAAGATATTGTACTTTCCATTCTTTCTAAGTTACCTTTGAAATCTTTTAAGAGATTTGGATGCGTGTGCAAATCATGGGTCTTCTTGTTTGAAACACTACAAGAAAAAACACTTTTAGCGATCGAAATTAGTGACCAAATTTTTCGGTTGCAATTAGCGACTGATTTTGCCATAGACGTATGATTTGGTTTCACTTTTTTATTTAATGACCAAAATAACGACTAATAGTTTGCGTCATAAAATTTTGGTTGGGGCTATTCCATACTTAAATAAAAAAAATCATTTAACGACCGATTTAGCGACCGAATTACAAATTGAAATAACGACTAAATAATAATCGGTTGCTAATGAGAAAATAGCTACCGAATCAAAATCGGTCGCTAACTGAATATTATCTTATTTTATTATATTTAAATTTATTTTTTTATAAATATACTTGCTTTAGTATATTTTTTACAATTTATTTTTTAAAAATAATTTATTTTGTAAAATATACTTTAAAAATAAACTTTGATATCAATGTTAATAAAATGAAGATTAAATTTAGTTTTAAATTACTAAAATAAAAATATTATTAAAAATAAATCAAATTTATTAAAAATTTAAATTGTAATAAATTAATATTGGAGTGATATTAACTATTCAATACAATGTTTAAGAAAAGTTTAATAATAAATATTCTTTAATATATTTTTCAATTAAAAATTTCAATTGAAATTAAATTATATTTTAAAAATTTATATTAAAAAAATTGAACACATCAAATTATCACATTTTAATTCCTCATTAACTTAATTAATAAAAAAATTACAATTTCAATCAAATTATTACAATTTTATTTTATAATAATTTATTTTTAATCTAGTTTTTAAATTTATTGCTTTATTATTATTATTATTTGCTTAACCATGATTATTTTCATATAATTGATATACCAGAAAAAAATTTATATCAAAATATAATTGATATACATTAGATAATAAATATTTTATTTAATTAAATTATTTATAAAAATATAATTATCTTTAGTTGAAATATTTTTACTTTAAGTATACTAATTAATATTTTTTATTTTTAACATAATTAATAAAAAAGATTAAAAATAGATTGCTAGAAAAGTTAAAAAATTAAAACTAATCCATTTTATAAATATTAAAAATAAACTATATTTAAATAAATTAAAAATATATTTAAATCTATATTGAACACACTTCAAATTTTACTCAATAAATATATAGATCACGTTTGGAAACTTCATCATTGAAATAATTTCAAAATTATTAATTTTTTTTTCAAAGTCTAATTTTTCTTCTCAGTTAAAAAAAAACAGTTAATATAATTTAAGGTTATGCCTTTTTAAAATTTCAACTTTTTTATATATTGAATTTTTTTATAAATTTAAACTTACTTTTTTTAGTTTAGTTTTTAAATTTTATATATTATTATTGTTAATTGATATACTAGAATAAATTTATATAAAAATAGTTTTTATCTTCAAAATTAAATCTTTATATTTTTCTACTATTTCTTTATAGTTAAGAAAGTCAATATTCGTACACAAACTTAAATATAATATAAAGTAAAAAGTATTTATTTATTCTATTTTATTTCCAATCTATAATTTTAATATTTTTATTTTAAAATATATTTTATATTTTTAAAATTAATAATTTTAGTGTAGTTATCTAAGCTTTTGATGTGATGATTTTAATTAATTGATATTATCGAACCATTTTATTTCATTTATTATAGTAAAAATCATAAAAATAAATGTTAAAATAATATTAATTATTTTAAATTATAAGAAAATAAATAATAAAAATAGAAAATAAAGTATCTTAGAAAAGAAGATTAATTATTTTAAAGATAAAATAGAATATGGGAGGAGATGAGGACGATAATGTAATAGAAATAATAGAGTTTAAAAAAAATGTAGAATGTGAGAATTATTTCATATATTATTATATATTATTAGCGTAATTTTAGTTTAATTAAAAATTAGAATATAAATATATTATACTATACTAATATATCAATATATTATAATATTTGTAATTTATTTTCATTGTGTAAAAATTAGAAAACTAATAATTTTTACAAATTTTAATGATAATTTTTTTAACTTATATATTACTAAATAATTTTTAATACTTTAATAAATATAACTTTTTTTAAATATATTTCATCAATTTAAAGTATAATTTTTGGTATTTTTTAGTATTCTTTTTAAATGTAGATATCTTTAATATTTTGTACATATAAATATAATTTACATATATTTTTAAACCTTTTTCTATAATTTGTTTTTAAAAATATAATATTATTTTTAATATTTAATATTTATATTTTAAATTTTTGTCTTAAATGATGAATGAATAATATTAATATTTTTTAATTAATTAAATTTATAAATAATGAATTAAAAATATTTATTATCTTTTGAAAAAATATAATATTATTTTTAATATTTATATTATAAATTCTTTATTAAATATTAATATATAACAATGATATTTTTTAATTAATTAAAAAAAATTATTATACTTAGTGTTGAAGGTTCAGTTCCCTCTCTTTTCTCTCTCTTTCACTCTATTGCTCCCTCTCTTTAATATTTACGGTATATTTTCTTTTTGGAAGGAATGAAGAAAACTATACAATAATACTTAGGGGAATGTGATTGTTCTGTTGTGTCAGCACCCAATTTCGTCCGGATAGCTGAGAATTAAAAAAAAATAGCAAAGTTTCTTTTAAAATTCAAATAATAATAAAAAGAATAGGGGAGAAAAAGAAAATTAAAATTAAAGTACGATTTCCTTCATAAACAAAACAAAAAAAAGGGGGAAAAGGGTCATTTTTTGGCCCAATTCGTTTTTTTACCCTAGGTCTCCAATTTTGACCTAATTTTGGCTTTAAAGAAGAATAGTAATTGTCAACATCCAATTTCGTCTAGGTAAATATGAAAAATAATAAAATAATAATAATAATAAATAAATAAATGACAATGTTTTCTTTAGAAACACAAAAAAATTGAAAATAAAAAATAAAAAAATATAATAATTCTTTTTAAAATAGGAAAAGAAGAACAAATAATAAAAATAAAAAATATTTAAAATGCAATTTTATTTTTGGGCCTAGTCCATCCATCTTATTTACCCTAATTTTAACCTAAGTTTCTCTTAAAAAAAAAAGAGAAGAATAGTAAAAGAGGGGGCCTCCACGCTCACGGACTCACACGACCCTTCACCACTTTCTATTCTCCTTCATCCACCTTGAACTATTCACTGACCCTACGTTCACTCCCCTCTTTCCTCAGCCCCTCCTCCCTATCTTCATCCTCTCCCCCATTCTTACCACCATTACAGCTGCCCCTCCACATGTTTCCCCGTTTTCCCAGTCTTCCCCGCACACAGCCACCAACCATCCCTCACTCGTCGTGCGACCATCGCAGCCTCAACCTCGACCACTGCGAGCCACCCTCACACTCTCTCCCTCAAATCTCCTCATTGTGACCACCACTTATCCTCTCCACTCCCCGTGCCCACAAAGCCCGCGAACCTCACCCACGACCCTCGCGATCCTCAGCTCCGGCCACCGAGAGACGCTCCTCCTCAATCCCCCTTGCGAACTGTTAGATATTGTTTGATATTGTTAAGATGTTATTAGATATTATTAATCACAATATCTTAATAATATATTCTGTTTACTCTATTTATATTCAGTTACTCTTTTTTTATGTACATTTATCTATTATAAATAGATTACCCTATGTGTGGTTTATACACAAGGGAGATTAATATCAAATCCTATTTCATCTATATTCAACATGATATCCGAGCCAAAGCCTAACATCTTTCTGGTTATTGTCTTGGGCCAAAAGTTGTCCTTTCGTTGGGTCAAAAGTACCATTTGCCTGATCCGGCAGGCTTCGTTGGAGGGGGCATGTTGAAAGTCCCATATCGCCTACCTCATGTCATTTGGTATGGTTTAAATACATGTTAGACTACTACACATATTGCCAATTGGTTTTATGTTGGAACCTTAATATGGTATCAGAGCTTAAGGTTATCTTGAATTTTTTTTTTTTTGCCTTTGTCTACTCTTGGAGTCGCCGCTGCCGGTTAAATTGATCCTCCATATCAGAAAAAAAGTTATCTTTGTTACTGGATTTTATTTGGTAGTGTGAAAGTGCATGTCTAGGAAGGTTCTAACAAGGAAAGACTTGGTGTACTGGTTCACGCTACTGTCTCCATCGCTACTGGAGAAGTTGCCAGAGCAGTCATCGACGGAGCAATCGCTGGATTCTCGCCAGAGTTTCATTTTTTTTACCAGTGACATATAATTTTGCTTGTCTTGGTCGGGTGACCACCGTGCCGTTGAGAACACCACTATCGAAGTTGAGTTTGTTCTCTCGCTCTTCATGACTTCTTCCACTCCTTCTACTACTTCCAATTTTGTTAATGATTCTTCTGTGTTAGAATCTCATCATAATGACCGGACTCGCCCTCGCAAACAGGGAAAAGGGCGTCCTAAGTGTGAACATTGTATCAAGTTAGGTCACAGGATTAACAAGTGTTATGCATTACATGGTTGTCCTCCTCGATCTGTTGCAGTTGTTCAGACTGATCTTTCCCCACCTTTGTTTGCTTGGGATCCTCCTTCTTCTGTTGCATCCGACATGTTAGAATCGTGCAGCGGAATGTTTGCGTTTCCAGACAAAAACCAAGAGGGGGGGGGGGTGAATTGGTTTCTTAAACAAAAATTAGGGTTTTAAAATTTTCCCAAATTTCACCGATTAAAATGTTGTGTAAAGTAAATAGAGAAGTGATAGAAGGTTACACAGTCAATTTATATTCGTTCGGATCAAAAGATCCTACGTCCAGTTGCTAATCACTCAAACAGAGGATTAACGTTGTCACTATAATCACAGTATTACAAACAGATTACAATAATGAAAAGATAAGGTAAAGAATACACCTCTCTTGAGTCACACAAGAGATGAACACCTCCTTTGAATCCACAAAGGATGAAGAACAACTTTCCCTAGAGACGGCACAACATACAATCCACTAAGAAAACCCACTCAGTGATTCTTATCGCTTCTAGCCCACACTAGGTTCCAAAAGCCCCTTTTTCCTCCAACAAACAGTTCTCTGGCAGTCACAACTCTCAACTTTTGTTTGAAAAAGGTTGTTCAATTTGCAGAGAGCCTTAGAGAACCTTAAGTAGAGAGATTAGGGTTTGGGAATTGGGGATTTTCGAAATTGAATGAATTGGGAATAGGGTTTTCGAAATTTGGTCCAATTTTGAATTTCAAAACACATATCTTACTGAAATAATCGATTATCTTGAGTGTTAATCGATTATTACAGAGCCAAATTCGCTTGGAACCCAAAACCACTCAGTTTAATCGATTAACTGAGCATTTAATCGATTAACAACTGGTTTAATCGATTATTCCAGAGAGTAGATGCTGAAAATGGTTTTTCTCTCTGTAGTAATCGATTATCCTTCCATTTAATCAATTAATCCAGTATATTTTTGATAAAAATGAGTTTTTAAAGCCTTTAAAGTGTGGACTATGTGCTGGCTATCTTGGACTCTAATATTACAGACTCAAAATCATAAAAACAGAGTTATTACACAAGAATACAAGTCTTCAAATCTCTAAGTCATTTGTTCTTGAATCATCATCAAAATCTACAAGTTTCATATCCTTGTATGTTCAACAATCTCCCCCTTTTTGATGATGATCAAAATTTTCTTTAAAGCCCATTGTAATAACCTGTTGTTTTATCTGTCACAGCTAACAAACATATTAAACATACCAAACAACATTTAAATTTAATAAGCATAAAAGGCTTTAAATAATTTCTCCCCCTATTTTGATTATGATAAAAAAATTAGAGCTCCCCCTTAATAAATGCATAATTTAGACAATAGATCCCCCTCAAACAAAGCAAAAATATCAATTTTATTCCATAAATTTAAAATTTATTACAGACAAGAAAAGATATGTGAAGAGATTAAAACTCTTCACTCTTATCACTATTGAATTGAGCATCAAACCTATCATCTAAGTTACAAATCCTATCATCTACATCAGAGATACGGCGGATGATTTCATGATGTCGTTCTTCAGAGAGAGTGAAAAATGCTTGCATTCTTTTATTCATATCAAAGAGCATATCTTCCATTGATTGACGAGATGTAGGAGGGACAAAGGATGTTCCAGCAGAATGAATATTTTCAAGAGGATTTTCGGCAGCAGGCATCTCTTCATCAGAATCTTCAGCATTTTCAGCCATGTTAGGAACGTCATCCTTGTGAACATAAATGTTATTGACACGCACCATTTGAAGTTGAGTTAGCGTGCTATCAAGCATTCGGTTTGAATTTTGTTGTTCTTACCGTTTTCTATCCTTCAACATTCACTCCTTTGTACTCTAAAATGTGAGAGATAAGAAGAGCATAAGGAATTTTAAAAGTAGGATGACACTTAGCTTTCAGCATGGTCATGGTGACAAGGCTGCCCCAATCGATTGACTCATTATTCATGATTGCATGAATAATGCGAAGATCTATGGATGAGCATTGGGCATGGTTGGTTTCCCGGGGACATAAAATCCAGACAAGTAGATGCAGTAGCAATCGTTCCTCCTTCTTTAATGGGCCGGCTAATAGAAGTCGCCCAATTTCCATGGAGGGGTTGCGGAGAAAGGAGTGGTAAGCCATAATTCTGTCAAAGTCTTCTAACTCCGCAAAAATATTAATAGCATATTCTCTTACATTAAAATGGGCAACATTTTTGTTAGAATCGCGCAGCGGAATGATCGCGTGGTCGGACAAAAACCAAGAGGGGGGTGAATTGGTTTCTTAATAAAAATTAGGTTTTCAAAATTTTCCCCAAATTTTACCGATTAAAAACTGTGTAAATGTAAATAGAGAAAGGGATAGAGTCTTACACAGGAAATTTATACTGGTTCGGATCAAAAGACCCTACGTCCAGTTGCTAATCACTCAACAGAGGATTAACGCTGTCACTATAAACAAATTGTTACAATACAAATTACAATGGAAGAGATAAAGTAAAAGATGACACCTCTCTTGAAACCCACAAGAAATGAAGAACAGCTTTCCCCAGAGACGGCACAGCACACAATCCACTAAGAACTCCACTTAGTGATTCTTATCGCTTCTAGCCCACACCAGGTTCAGAAAGCCCCCTTTCCTTGCAACAAACAGTTCTCTAGCACTCACAACACTTAACTTTTGTATGGAAAAGGTTGTTCTTAATTTCTGAGTGCCAAAGGAGAGTTTAAGTAGGGAAATTAGGGTTTAGGATTTGGGGATTTCGAAACTAGGGTTCTTGGTAATTAGGTTTTCGAAAATAGGGTTTGTTTGAAGTTTAAAATCAGAAACAGACTGGAATAATCGATTATTTGGAGTAATAATCGATTAAAACAGAGCCAAATACGTCAGAACCCAATACTCTCGGTTTAATCGATTATTTGGTGAAATAATCGATTATCTGTACGGAACTGTACGCGAATAATCGATTATTTTGCTGTTTAATCGATTAAAGCAGTGAGTTTGTACAGAAAATGGTTTTCTCACTGTTTTAATCGATTATTTACCTATTTAATCGATTAAAGCCGAGCCTGAATGATAAATTTGAGCTTTTTGTGGCTTCTAAGTTACAGACTATGTACCGGCTATCTTAGATTCTATAATTACAGACTCAATCAAACTAAAACAGAGTTATTACAATACAGAAATCATCAATCTTCAATCTTCAATACTCTAAGTCTTTAAGCTCTTGGATCATCATTAAAATCAACATTCTTCATGATCATTATTTGCAACATCAAGTCCTTGAATGTTCAACAATTTTCCCATATATCGTCATCAACAATGATAGTCACACCCTTGACACGAGAAGTGACTACTTGATCTCTAAATTTAAAACGAGAATAGAATACCCTAACTAAATCAGGGTAGTAAGTACCTTGCATTTGGATAAAAGGGAGGACACCTTGAATTTCAAGAAGATTGAGAAAATTAAATCCCCTATTGATGAATTGATCACCAATAATGTATTTTGGAGTAATGATACCCCTTTCCTTCCAGAAGGTGAGAAATTCTTGTCTGCCCTCATCATCTGAGATCCATCCTTTAACAAAATTTGGACGGGGATGAGATGCAGGAGCAGATCTTCTTCTTGTAGGGATCTTAGCAGGAGAGGAGGAAGCCATTTAGGATTAGAAGAAGAAAAAAAAAACAAGAGAGTTTTGAAGGCAAGTAAGGTTAGGATAGAGCAAGAAGGCTTGAATGATGCTAGAATGCTTGGATTCAAGAATTTGAGGTGTGGAGAAGTGAAATGAGGGCTTCCTATATATAGACAACATGTATAACGGTCATAAA